GGGGGGGTGCTTTCTCATAAACCAAATCTACTGCTCTTAGCTGCTGGCCCAGGCTGCCCTGGTTGGGGCAGGGAACATATTTCTCCTGTTTCCCACCCCCACTTCTAGTGGTGACCTCTCCAGATTCTTCCCCCTCCTTAGGTGGGCCGAGACCCCACTTGAAAAAAAAACAGGCAAGGCCAGCCCCTCTGCTCTCTGTCTGACTTAGTGTCTCAAGCAGGACAGGCTCCCTACTAACTGAGGGGCAGTGTCCTTCTATGGGTTTGGGGACGAAGACTCACGTGAACTGGTTTGGGAGGAGGCAGGTACCCACGGCTCTGGATGGTGCCAAGGCTTCTCCTCCTTGCTCCAGCCTCGGCAAATCCTTTTCTCTCTCTGGGCTTCAGTTCGCGCACCCCACAATAGTACCCAAGGGCTTCTGCTCCAAGATGCTGGGACTGTATAACCTCACCCAGGACAGAGAAATGGGCTTGGGGCATCAAGAGGTGGAGCGGCAGATTCTTGAGCCCCAGGTGTCTGGAGGCGGGGAAGGAGAGGGTCTTTGGGGGCTTTGTCTAGTTCTCCCTTGACCTCCAGTCTCTTCAGTCAGAGACCAAAATTGATTCCCCCTCATGGGGCCTGAGAGGCCAAAGGGGCCTAATTAAAAAAAAAAAAAAAATCCCAGGATGAAAATGGCTAAGAGGGCAATTTCCTCTGCAGAACAGAGATCAAATCAACGCTGGAGCAATTAATGTATGAGGAGAGACAAGGAAAGGGGGACGGGCGCATGGGCGCTGATGGTGCTGGGCTGGCAGAGGCTGCAGGATTAATCTCAAGGTCAGATGGAGCAGTGGATGACCTTGTGGAGTCTGAGCCAGGCCAGGCACTGGCACCTCCTTCCAGTTCCAGACCACACCCCCACTGCCTGCAACCTGCCTACACCCTGGGAGCCCTGCCTCAGTCCCTCCTGGAGCAAGTCTTGGACTCTGGCTAGGAGATTCCTGATGCGGCCAGGCGTGGGCTGCATTGGCACCAGCAAGGGTGGGAGTCTGGGAACTCCCAAGGCTGGTCCTTCAGGTGATTGAGAACTCTCTCCTACTCCATTTGTTCTTCATCCTGAGGATTCGCTCAGTGGGGCAGAAAGCTGCCTGTCAGCTTCCTCACACAGCCCCTCAAGACCACTATATCACCCCCATCTACCTGCCTGCCGGCTTCTTGCCTTCCTGGGTTTCTTGGGAAACAGGGTCTGGATGGCCCATTGGGTAGGGCTGAGGGTGTGAGTGGGGTTCCGCTCACAAGAGGGCGCTGAAGGGTCAGGAGCTGGCAGTTGTCAACCTGGTTGGCGGGGAGAGGGTGGGGAGTAGCAGGGAGCCAAAGCTTAACTGTAAGTTCCAAACTGTCCGCCTGGGGACCCCGCAATCCTACCTGTTAGATGAAGGCAAGCACAGATACTACCTCCAGCATTTCAACAAACCGCCAGAAAGTGTTTGTGTATGAGCCTCATCTGCATGAACCTCAGTGTGTGTGGCTGGAAAGGAGTTGGGCCAATGGCTTCCTGACTGGTGGTTATGAACATCTCTGATTAAAAAAAGAGGGAATGCATTCTTCATCCATGATCTTTGTTTTTTTGACAACACCTTTTTTAGAGTTTGGGTCCACAAGGCAGAAATATTTTTTGAAAGGTAGAGCAGGTAACTGGCCTGCTGTGGAAGAAGAGATGGGCCTCTCCAACACTCTCATTTCACCGAGGAAGCCCTGGAGGCCTTGAGAATAAACAGAACTATGAAAAGAGAGTGAGGCCTGGGAAAGGGGGTCCAAGCTAGCTAGGGGAAAGACAAGCAGCAGTAGTTTCCTTGGGTTCTATGCGGGGCCCCAAAGCAGGAGTCAGTGTGCTGGGAGTGAGGATCCCGCCATCCTTAGCTCTACTCCCTATGTGTCCCTGTATCTGTCTGTCTTTCCCAACCAGCTGCTGGCTTCTCACCTCCTTGTATCCAGAAGGAGTTGGGATCCAACGCTCACAGAACGAGGTAGACACATTCACTGATGTGTGCACATGGAAGAAGGTTTTCCACCCTGCCTTTTGTGGGGCATTTCCCCTTTGGGTCTTCAGACAGAGGCCAGGGGTGGATTGTGGGCCCTGATGAGGCCTGGCCGGGAGCGGCAGGCTCTCTGTTCCTTAGTACCTGCCTCCTCCACATTAGGAAGTCCTGGACGTCCACCCATACCTCTGAGGTCTGTTCCACTGTCTGTAGGACAGGGCTGGCTGGGCAGTTGGAATTGGACTGAAGCCTGGACGGGGAGAAGCAGGACCTCAGAATGTCCTTGGACTTTCACAAGTTTCCATCACCCACTGTTGCTTTAAATCAGAGATTCTCCCTTTACTGTTTGGAGCCATAGACTTGGATGACAGCCCGATACATATCATGGTCTTTTCCCCTCCACCTCTGAGAGCCTTCTTAAAACGAATCCTGAATTTAAGACTTTTGCTCCCATTCATGTTCCCCTTCCCTTCCTGTGCCCCTCCAAGTCACCTGGCATGTCAGCTGGAGCAGCTAGAAGAAGCCCCTTCAATTTACCTCCTGTCCCTCACCCCCTGGGGCCCCAACCTCTTAGGGCCCAGCCCTCATTCCCCTCTCAGGCACCTCCAGCCTCATCTTTTTTCTTTGCTCTCTCTTTTCCAAGGGGGGCAGTGGAATTTATACAATATTTAAGCAGCCAGAGCCGAGTCTGGGAAGATATTATTAATGTAAAAGGGATGGGCTGCAAATGCTTTTGGACCTGGTTACAATTAGAGGGTGATTTTTCTAAAGGTCAATGAATTCAGATAATATCCACAGGGGGGAGAGAAATTTAATACCTTTTTAGTGAATTAATTAATTATAATATTATATCGGCTTGGGGTTCTTTTCCAGAGTGATTAAGGGAGCTATCCGTCTTCTGTGAGGCCGAGGAGCCGTGCCTGCCACCAGCAAGGACCCTGTCTTGGGGCTAAGGATGGGGGCTCTTCCCTCTCCTCTCACCCTGGAGGTGGCCGGGGAGCTGGGAGCTGTCAGGTAGCAGGGGAGACGGGCAGGGCTCAGTCTGGGTGAGGGCAGGTGTAGTGAATGGCAGTGCCCTTTCTCTTCAGCCTGTGCCCCCAGCCCTGGCCCACCTTCTCCTGCCCTGTCCCTGAGCCCCACGCCATGGCCTGAAGAGCTGAGGCATGGGTTGTGGCCTCCTGCTTTACACACAGAGAAACTCGGGCCCACAGGATTCAGGGACTTTACCTGAGCCCCACCATGAGTTAAGACAGACTAGGGTGGCAAAGCTGGTTGGAAATAACAAAAAGGCTCCCCCTACCTCCCAAACCATGCCTTCTGGAACTCTACTCTACTGGCCTGTGAAGGTCCCCCCTGCAGACAGAGGCTCTCTAAGGGCATGGCATGTGCCCAAGCTCCGCTTGTAAAATGAAAACACCCAGGAGTGCTGGTAAGTCCAGTTGCTACAAGGTCTGGTGAGGGATTAGCTGAGACTTCTGTTTCTGGAAGGAACTGAAGGCACCTGGGGAGAGGTACCTTTCGCCTGCTTGATCATTCATTCATGTGTTCAATCATTCTTTCATTCAACAAACATTTGTGGCATACCCTCACTTGTGCCATCAAAGACAGACTGAAATAGCCTTTCTGGAAGCTCCGCCCACCTCATCTTGAGCCCCAGCTGCTCCTCTGAACAATGCCGGGCGGGCTGGGGAGACATTGTGGTCCCTTTCTGCAAACAGTCCCTGCTTCTACCTAAGGGCAGGAGGATCCCTGGGAGGTAGTGGTCATTGATTTGCTCAGCAAACCCTGATTGCCCACTTTGAGCTGGTCCCATGCCGGATGCAGGGGATGCTTAGGTAGATAAAGGACAGCCCCTGCTCTCTAGGAACCAGTCCCAGGGGCTGCCAGGGGCAGGGAAACAGACTCATGAACAGCAATGAGGATGCAGCAAGGGCTTTAAAAAAAGGGAGAGGTGATATTAAGCTGAGAAAGGGAGAGGGCATTCCAGGCATGGGGCACAGAGTAGGTGAAGGACTGGCGAACGGGGGCCCAGGCATGTTGAGTGGGAGACTGTTCCACGATGCCACAGGTTCTGGGTCCACGAAGGCAGGAAGCAGCAAAGCCAGACCCGAATTTAAAAGTGAGGTGTGCCATGGCTTGCTGTGTGATGGGGTGGGGGTGGAGTTCTCTGCCTCTCAGTTTCCCCTCCTATAATGGGGGATTTTGATATCTATCTCCCAGGGCTATTGTAGGAGTTAAAGGAATAACGGAAGGGAAGTGCTAGGCATAGCATCTCACGCAAGATGTGGCTCCAGACGTCATAACTTCCAGATGGCCCTCAAGGGGGTGGGTGGACAAGCGGCCTGCCTGCCCCTGGCTTTGCCCTCAATTCCTTTTCTCTCCCTGCGGGGGGCGAGCAGACCTTGCTGGGCAGGGGGAGATCAGCGTTTTTATCACCTTCTTGCTCAGCCCCATCTCCCCCTTTCCTGCCTCTGTCCCTCCATGCCCTCCTCAGCCCCGGCTGCCCCCAGCCCCTCCCCCACCCTCTCATTCTTTTCCATGTGCGGCGGGCCGGGGAGGGCCTTCCCATTGTACTATCTTTGGGCCCTAAATTAAAATTGATGACATCTTGAAATGA